CGATTGTCTCAACAATTGGATCATATGTTGAGGTCTTTGGATCAGTTGAGACACAACCCGGACGTCAGTCAAGTGCTCGAAGACAAGACCAAACGTGTCGCTCAACTCAAGAGGAGATTAACTCTCATTCACTCTATCGTTCAGAACTGCAACCAAAGGGTCGCCAAACTCTTCACCACTTCCGCAGCCATTCAGTCGACCAGTCATTGAGTCTCTCATCGGATCCCAAGACATGAGTCACCAACAGATGGAGAGTCCAATTGAGGCCATCGTTGAGTATATGAAGACATTTGTGGAGCAATTGGTGGCAAACGAGGACTCGATTCATGTGATGATCACTGAATGCCTGCAATCAATGGTCGCATCCGTTGACCACAAATGCCATGAATTGAGTGATGAGTCGACGGATGGCATCAAAAGTGGCGACAATTTAGGCGTCGATGACATCGATATGAGTGAAGACTTTTGGGACGAATTGGACGACGATTTTGACATCAATTTCAGTGATAATGACATGAAATCGAGTCCTCGAGAGTTGACCACAACTTCAGACGAGAAGCGATTGGATTTCAATCAGAAGTTCTCGTTATTGTTGTCTGAATTGGTGGCCAAACCCTCGACAGACACCTCTCGTGTGGACGTCTCAGTGATGGCCACAAGACTTGTCTCACAATTGGATTCAATTAAGTATTGATTGTTTGAATGGTTTTGTGTTTTGTTTGCATTTTGTATTAATTCAGTGTTTTTTGTGCCAAAAGTGATGCCATTCTTGAACTCATCCATCGATTGAAACAAATGTCGGATCCGATGAAGAAATAAGTCATTTAAATGTCTTTCTATTGAATACTGTTTTATATTTTGTGTTAAATTTTATGATAAATAATAGATTTTTAATTAAATTTAATTATAATTATAAATAAATGCTTTAATAAACACTTGAATATAATTCACAAAATGTTTAAAACAATAAAATATAAACTCATTTCCTATGACTTGAGTCCACACTATAATCCCAAACTCTAATCAAAGACCAGTTCCACAGATGGAGATAATCACCACAAGAGATGTTAATATAGTTTTAGACAAAACTTTTGGTTGAGATTTAATTTAGGATTCATTTGTGTCCCGAAACTGATGCCATGTTTTTGACATTTGCCTTCAAATC